CCCCTCTCCGCAGGCTGCAGCAGCCCGGCCTCCTGGAGGCGCTCCAGTACCTGGTGGGCCTGCTACAGCACAGCCCCGCCCTGACCACCCTGGATCTCAGTGGCTGCCAGCTGTCGGGACCCGTGGTGACCGGCCTGTGCGTGGCCCTGCAGCAGCCGGGATGCCGCCTGCAGACCCTCAGGTAGGGGAGGGGCAGGAAGGGTGCTGGGGACACACCTCTGAAGCTGGGCGGGGGTGGAGGGTTACCTGAGGCTCCCCCTAGACCAGCGGTTCTCAACCTGTGGGCCGTGACCCCTTTGGCGGTCGAACGACCCTTTCACAGGATCGCCTCAGACCATCGGAAAACACATCTATAATGACATATTGTTTTTGTGATTAATCACTATGCTTTCATTATGTTCAATGTGTAACAATGAAAATACATCCTGCATATCCGATATTTACATGACGATTCCTAACAGCAGCAACATGACAGTGATGAAGTAGCAACAACAATAATGTTATGGTTGGGGGTCCCCACAGCATGAGGAACTGTATTAAAGGGTCGCGACGTTAGGAAGGTTGAGAACCACTGTCCTAGGCCCTGAGTGAGCACAGCCCCTGGAGACACCCCTCCAAGCCCTGGCCCCAGCCCTTGGCCCCGACCTCTCTGCCAGACCAAACGTCCGTCTGGTGCGGTGCCCATGGCACGGTCTGGGTCAATGCTCCCAACACCCTCCCACTCTCCCCGGCTTGGCTCCCAGCTCCCGCCCCCTCCCCCAGCCTCCGGCAACCCTGATGGGCGTCTTCTGTCACTGAGTACCTCTGGCTCAGCCCAGGCCAGTTGCCCGTCACTGCCCCCCTTCCCTTGCCCCCCCTCCCCTCCCCCGTCCCTGCTGCTCCCTGCCCTGGTCCCTGCTCCCCTCCCACCCACCTCCCCCTTGTCCTGTGCATGTGCAGCCTGGGCTCCGTGGAGCTGAGCGAGCAGTCCCTGGAGGAGCTGCAGGCGGTGAGGACAGCAAAGCCAGGCCTGGTCATCACACACGCGGCGCTGGACAGCCCCCCTGCGTCTCCCCAGGAGCTCAGCACGGCCTTGTAGACCCCGCGGGCAGGGCAGCCAGGAGGACGCCCCTCAGCCGAGGAGTAGCTCTCCCATCCGAGGAGGGGCCGGGCAGGCAGGGAGAAGCCCCGACCGACGGGCATGTCCCCTCCATGGTCCTCCACAGGGCCCGGGACATGCCCTTCCCCCACACCCTGGGCCCTGACCCCCACTGGGCCCCACCACCTTCCTCTCCCGGGACCCTGCAGCCCCACCCCCAACAACGCCGCTGGGAGCCCCCATAACTGAGCGCCTGCCACGCGTGGACCGTTACTGGTGTGCTGGGTGCAGAGTGACACCTTCGCGGATCCGTCTCCATCTGCGGTGCGGGCCCGGGGCCCCACGGTTCTGCCCCTGGCCAACGGGGTTCAAGCAGGGCTGACCCCTGACCAGAGGTGGGCGGGTCGCCATCCCTCCCCCGGAACGCGGGTCCTGGCATCAGGGGAGGCCATCCCTGAGGCCGTGTGCAGGGCCCAGGGGTGTCCCCTCGCCGTCTAAGGTCTGGGACGGAGCCCAGCAGAGGGAGAAGGCAGTGGCCTGACCCGGCGGCGGCCGGCCGTGACGGCTGGTGGGGGGCAGCCCAAGCCGGTAATAAAGTCTCCTTCGCGTTCCTGTGTTGGCTTCTGTGCACGTGGCCGGCATCCTGGCCAGCCTCCCTTTGGTACCTAACTCACCTGTCTGGGCGGGGCCCCCATTTCAAGGATGAGAAAACCGAGGCTCAGGGAGCAGCCTGACGGCAAGCAGCCCTGACCCTTGATGGACAGGCCAGCAAGGGGCAGCCCTCGAGGCTTCCCGCCCAACACTGGGGGCGGGGCCAGCTCCTGAGACCCCGTCCAGGTAGAGGGGCAGCCAGGTCCGGGAGCCTGAGGGGGCGGTGAAGGATGGAGAAGACAGGCAGGGGAAGAACGCTGGGTCTGGTGGGACACTGCCCTCCCTGATGGAGAGCCAGCGCCCCGGCCTGCAAGCCGAGTCTGTATTTTACAGCAGATCCCAGGAGGCACAGAGAGGGCGTAGTCAGGATGGTTACAGCGTTCTCGCGGGTTTCGAATCCACTCAATCACACGCACCTGATCGAGCTTTGTTTACTCGCTGCCCCTCCCGCAGCCCACAGCACTCAGCCACCGGAAGCCCCTCCCACAGCGGTGCCCTTCCAAAATCAGCTTTCTTTTTTCTTTTTAATATATTTTCATTGACTTCAGAGGAGAAGGGAGAGGGAGAGAGAGAGAGAAACATCAATGATGAGAGAGAATCGTTGATCAGCTGCCTCCTGCACACACACACACACACACACACACACACCCCACTGGGGGTTGAGCCCACAACCCGGGCCTGTGCCCTGCCTGGGAATCGAACTGTGACCTCCTGGCTCCTAGGTCGACACTCAGACACTCAACCCCCGAGCCACACCGGCCAGGCTGTCCCATTCACGGCAGCTCTTGACCTAATGACCTGGTGCCCCACCTCCAGGCACCATCACACCTGGGATTAGATGTCAACAGACAGACGTGGGGACACCGCAGGCGCAGGCCGTCCCCAGCAGGGAGCGCGCTGGGAACGTGAAGGGCGCAGAGGCGGAAGCCAGGCTGACTGCGGGGAGTGGGGGCGGGCACCTTGGGGACTTGTCCTCCCAGAGAGGCGGGCACCACCGCGGGCTCTGAGCAGAGGGCACGTCCGCCACTCGCAGGACCAGGACGGAGGGCTGAGCAGGGGCAGAAAGCGGGGAGTGTGCTGGCCCAGGGGTCACGTGGGACGGAGAGCGGGCAGGGCTGGA